TCACCCTCTTTCACTGATCTATGGTTAGGCACCAAAAAAAAAAAAAAAACACAACAATGCACCAGCAAAACCAGAGAAGTAACTTTTCTTAAGTAAGGATATAATGTTTTAGAAGCTAATGAAGTGGTTTTATGAGTGAGGAACTGCTTTTGCATCAGAAAAAAACATTTGTTAGACCTCCAGGATACGCTGAATGTCGACAAAGAAAACTCCACAGGACACCTTCAAGGCCAACAGACGCTCCATCTACAAACAGTCAGCTTATCAAGTGTTCACTCTGCTATGACTCGTATCAGTAAAAACCTGCAGTCTGAATTTGAAATGATCTGCACTTTTGCTCTCTTATTGTATCACTTCCTTGTTTAACACCAGCTGCAGGTGTCTTTTCTAAAAATGCAGTTAAAGTTCTCAAAGAATTGGGAAGCCTGTGTACTATACACGTCATTGCAAAGTAATTGTCAGAGTGAAAAAGAAACACCCTGAGTAGTGTTATTTTCCCAGTATTCATTTCATTGTGTGCAGTTTAGAGCTGCACACGCCTGCAAACAGGAAAGAAGCAGAATGTAAGTGGCTGGTTTGGACTGGTGTTGACTGGAAAACAGGATCCAGGTGGACAGGTTTTGGGTTGCAGTGATCTGATACAGCCCTCATTAAGCGGCTTGGGTGTCAGGCAGATATGACTAATCCACATAAATATAGTTCCTTAGTCAATATCTTTTATAAAAGTCAGTGCTTCTCATAGCAGCTCCAGTCATTTAGTCACGGTGGACGGTGGAGTCTGCGCTTAGCATCCCTAACCTCACGTCAACCTCCACAACAGTGATTCGTTTGAGTTCCATTCACAGAGGTGTACAGGTTTTAAATCTGGGCAAAAAGAAAGCACTAGTGTCAGAGAGGGAATCAGTATCAGCAGATACCCTGAGTTGATGGATCAGAATCATCAAAGAAAGAAAAAAGTTGGACCAGTGCTTTCCTAGATTTGGATGAGTAAAGCACCAAGTATTTGAATATTCGGGTCCAGCCCTGCTAGGAGCTACTTCTCTTCCTATTCTAGGATCAGTGATAAATCTGTGTAGCTGGATATGACAGTGCAGCAGCAGATGAATCATGTTCAGTTGTTCTGAGTTAATGATGTTTCAGCCTGAATCTGTAATATGGCATATTTAAGCATTTAAGCATTGCCTTCTATAACAATACATAGTTTGGGTTTAAACAGTGAAACCAGAGCAGTGGGGTGAATGACCTGGTGAGCACACATGGCTGAGTTGAACTGTGGGCCACAGGTCTTGTGTGTACATTATGACACAGATGACTGAGAAGACGCTGAATTGCTTCAAGAATGGAGGTCGACGTGCCAAAAATGTGATTCGCATTAAGACTAGGATTATGGATGACAGGAGTAGAGGAACAGCCTGTTAGATGGAGGGAAGGCAGGTATCGTACCAGCAGACTTGGCAGACATGTTAAGTCCACGGTGGCAGCCAAAGCCTCTACTCAATTCCCACCTCTTGTGCACCCCACCCCCCATCCCAGTGTGATCGCCTGGATCGAAAACATGCTGGCGCGTGACGTCAATGACAACAAGAAGATTGGTAACTATGGCGCCCAGCACATCCTGTCTGGCGTACCGAGGGACTCTGTGACCATCCTCACGCATTGCAACACAGGCTCGCTGGCCACAGCTGGATACGGGACCGCACTGGGTAAGACTATAGCCATGGGTGTGAATGAGAAAAGAGGGTGATTGTTTAAATATATTTGTGGCTCTGAAAGTGTAATAACGACTGTTTGTGTGTAGGCGTGGTGCGAAGCCTCCACGCGCTGGGCAGGCTGAAGCGTGTGTACTGCACAGAGACAAGGCCGTACAACCAGGGATCCAGACTGACGGCTTATGAGGCGGTAGCAGAGGGAATTCCTGCAACACTTATTACAGACAGCATGGCAGCCCTTACCATGAGAGAAATGGACATCACAGGTTTGTCAGTTTTCTCTCTCTCTTTTCTCTTTCCTCTCTCTTTTTTTAACACTTTCTTTCCATGATCTCCCAGCTGTGGTGGTGGGTGCAGACAGGGTGGTTGCCAATGGTGATACAGCCAATAAAGTGGGCACGTACCAGCTGGCTATCGCTGCAAAGCACCATGGGATTCCCTTCTATGTGGCTGCGCCCAGCACTTCATGCGACTTGAGCCTTGAGAGCGGCAGGGACATTGTCATTGAAGTACGCCCCCCTGAGGAGCTCACCAGTATAAATGGAGTCCCCATCGCTGCCCCAGGTAGGAAGTACAGGATGGGAGGTTGGTGGTTTTTATACACTGGGGAAAAGACAGGAAAGTAGTTTTAAAACTATAAAATAACACAAATACTTTAAAAAACAGCGAGTCCACTACAGGAGTGAAGGTTTAGAGGTAGCATCTGCCCCAAGCACTGAAGAAAACAGACTATAACTGAGAGTGCAACCCTGTGTCAAAGGGCCAGTCGGTTTCCCCATAATGCCATGAAAGCAATATTCCCGTGATAGTTTGACCCTCATAATATGGCATTTGGACTGATGCTGATCTCACTATTATTTTGAAAGTTACTCAAGAACAATGACAACCATCCACTTGTTGGGGTAAAACAGGAACCTCAGTGAGTGGACCAGCAGGCAAAGTGGTGAAGACTCGCATTTTGTGTTCTGCTTGTTTGACAGCTGATAAATTGCCCGTATAGTCTTCCTTACTGGCTGATTGTTGCTCTGTACACTGTGCTCCCTCTGCTCAGCTGTGAGTGTGTGCGAGAGGAGCGCAACCCCTCTCCTCTAAACAGAGACCAACACATGCAATGCATTATGGTCCGTGCGATGGTTAAGGGAAGCATGGGGTGTACCGCTCATTAGGGTCCGACAGTGGAAACGCAGCTATAATGTCCAGGTAGAACATCAGCGTCCTCGCCCTGAACAAGTTGCCTGCTAATAGAGCTGGTTGGTCAGATAACGAGCACTTATCTCCAAAACGCCAGAACAAATTCTAAATTGGCATTACTAGAAAAGCCTGACCATATATTTTCTATCGAAGTGGTTAATTTATCACCTGAAAAAATGTAAAACTCGGAGAGAGAGACATGGAATAAGGTCAAAGGTCACCAGCCAGACCAAGGATGTTGCAGTTCATGGTTCCTGCCTTAAACCCCAAAGTGATCAGGGCATCCCTTGCCTTTGTTTTTATTTTTGGAATGTTATGAATTATGGGTAAGTCCCACAAAAAGCCTGAGGAATTTCAGATTTACAAAAAGTGAGCAGAGGGGGGCTCAAACAAGCCTCATCCACAGGTTTCGCTGTGGGACAGTCCTGACCCCTTATGGACTTGTGCATCAAAGTCTGAGTCTGTAAGACTCAGCACTGGAAGTGTGTTTTCGGTGGGTTTGTGAGAGCTGAGAAACATTTGATCTCTAATTACACTGGAAGAGCAGAGGGGTGCTTGGTGACATCACAGTAATTAAAGCGTAATCATTTAATGAGCACACTGGCCCCTGGAGAGGAGGGTGTGTGCTTGTACATTACATTTCTTTTAATCTCACACTCTTCTCTGGTTTTTCCTGTCAACAGCACAAGTGTAAGGTTGTCAGTATTCTATTTATTTTATTTATTTACAGTGAACTAATCCCATAGGAGACTGAAACCAGCGAGAAACTGACTGCACTCACAATTAGTGCTTGCGTACCCACGTAACCAAAGCCTGATCGAGTTTGAAAGTTTATTTGTTATCCTAGAAATGGTAGATGGACTACTCTGAGCTCAAGGTCCACTTACTAGCTTTTCCCCTTGAGAAACACAGTGAGATGTGGTTGAAAGCACCAAAGATGAAGACAATAATTAAGACAGGATGGTTCCAAAAAGTAATAAAAACAGAACAGTGATTCACTGTTGCAATGACTGATATGTTCCTTCTTTACAATGAAGATGGACACTAGTTTATTTTGAGTCATTCCCACATGAGTGTGTATTAATCTGTGGCTGAAAATAGTCCCCAACAAATTCACTGTTTACTTCTTCAGATTAAATGATCTGTGAAGAGAATGTCCTAAAGGATCATTCATACTGACAATATGCTATGGTAAGAGGTCACAATTGGACATTGGTTTGTTTTGAGGGGCCTTAAGATTAAAAAAAAAGCTGCTCCTCCTCCTCTAGGGCTGGCTGTTTGAAGTGACTTCTCGCAGTTCGACAAATGCTTCTTATAACCTTTGCCAGGTGGCAGACGGGGCTAATACACACTGGGTAGAGAAGTTGGAATGAACAGATGCACTATTAAGTAACCAAGTGTCACAGAGCAGAGAGACATTAGGTGAATCCCAGTTCTCCTAACCGCATCCATGTTTCCCCTCATTTGTCCTTTCCTTGCATCTCAGTCGTGCCCATGAGAGATGCAAGGAGAAACTGCAAGGAGAGAAGAACTGAGGAAACTTTTTAACTGACATGAGATATAATTTCTTCCTATCCTTATTTGAAGCTTCCAATCACAAACTGATTTCCAATAAAGGGGCGTGTCAATCCATAACACGTCCGTGAAGGATACACTTGTGTGCCCTCGGTTATAGCTCCTCCAGGCAGCCTCCTTGCTCCTCCTTCATCATGGCAGACCGGAACAACTTCCGGGTCGATCGAGGACCAAGGAACAACACAATAAGGGAATTGGGATTCACTTATTTTTTCCTGTCCTGTTGTCGCTTGATTTATCATCCAGTGTGTAAAGTCTTAGGTAACGCTTCTTTAAGTGAATGAACCATGCCACTCATGCCCGACTGTTCACCTCAGGTATCGAGGTGTGGAACCCAGCGTTTGACGTGACTCCTCACCAGCTCATCACAGGAGGCATCATCACAGAACTGGGAGTCTTCCTCCCCTCCGAGCTCCAGGCCGCGCTCACCGGCCGCCTCACTGCCCTCTAGAGCCGCTCAGCCCCTCCTGCTGGTCCGTGTGCACCGCCGCACCTTAAGGCCCCGCACTCAAAGACACTCTCATTTCACCACAGAACACATACACATTAGTGGTTGTCATTTCATTTACTTTTCATAAAGGCATGGTCACTGTTACATGTCGGTGGTGCACACAGAAGAAAAAAAATGTTCTTCGTTTTACTCACAAACACAAACTCAATACAAGAGGCCCAAGCAGACTCACATGCCGTCTCCCTTTCTTTTTATTTCCTTCTGTTTTCTGTGGTCTCTACATTTCACTTTTCCTCATGGTTTCTAACCCCTCTTTCATTCTCTTTTTCTCTTTTGCCACCTCTGTCGCTTCCTTAATGGCTTCTGTGATGACAACTAGTGCTCATCTGGCCTCGATTCCTTAAATTCTATTTGGCAAACCTGTTTTTATGAGTCCTTACTGAGCTCATTTTTCAGAGCTTCCTCAGCTACAAGCAAACTAAAAACCCTCCACAAAGTCTAAATGGCATAACAGATTTTTTTTTTCTCAGTAGTGATTTTGGTTTTTAAAATGCTGCTACCCACTTGTAAATATACATATTGTTGCTGGTAGTGTGTGTACATATGTAGAAAACTAACCCCTGCTAGTAAAAGGTACTGCTCTTTTAACCAAATACGTGGTTATTCACAATTTTATTTGACGCAAAAATGTTATATTAACATTTAATTTCTTTTGTTTTGGTTAGAAATCTTTTTTAGAGGAATAATCCAAATTTATAGTTCATAGAGTTTCACACCCAGGAATTCTTAGTGATAATAAAAATTATATTTCACTCACGTTTTCCACTGTGCGGCAACATTTCGAACAAGTGGAATTTCTCTCATCAGTCACCTGAAGCCTATGACAAGATGTGGCTGTATTTATACCTCACTCCTTGTTTGATTCTTGCTATTTGTACCATATCATTCTACATTTGTATTATCATAATGTACTTATATATATAAAATATACACTACTCAAAAAATTAAGGGAACACTAACTCACACATCGGATCTTGATGAACAAATTATTCAAGTTGAAGAGAACGGCGCACCAGTGGCAAACCAGCCAATTCTGGTGTTCTCTGGTAAATGCCAGTCGAGCTGCACGGTGCTGGGCTGTGAGCACAGGTCGTACTAGAGGACGTGGAGCCCTCATGCCACCCTCATGGAATTTGTTTCTGACAGCTTGGTCAGAGACCTGCACACCAGTAGCCTGCTGGAGATCATTGTGTAGGGCGCTTGCAGCGCTCCTCCTGTTCCTCCTTGCACAAAGGAGAAAATACAGGTCCTCCTGCTCGGTCATTGCCCTTCAACCGCCCTGTCCAGCTCTCCTGGTATCTCCTCCACGCTCTTGAGACTGTGCTGGGAGACACCACAAACCTGCTTGCCACTGCATGTATGTATGTGCCATCTTGGAGTAGCTGGACTACCTGTGCAGCCTGATTGTGCTGCAGGTACTGCAGCGATGATCAAGTGTACCCTTAATTTTTTTGACCAGTGTTTATATGTAACGATACATATTTGAGCACCATACTGATATTCACTATACTATACAGGACTTGGTAAGAATGAAGAATCTAAAAAAGCATTGGTGTCACTTTCACCATAACAGATTTGCTGTGAGCTGAGACTCTTCTAATGCTGTTGTATTTCTGTAATACAGGCATCACTATTAAAAGAATAGTTCACCCCAAAAAGAGGGTTTGATGATCTGCTCACTAATGTTTGTCTAACACTGTTAATGTTAAAATACCTGTATAGCTTGCTACTATGAGCCAGGTTAATCTAAATTAGTTTAAATGTTTTACATCTTAGAAAAAATAAACCAATAATCTTAATATCTCAATTATATTACTTAAAACACTCGTTGCCACCGAAGGCTGTGTTGGACTGGTGCTACAGAACAGTACAAGACGTTTAAAATGCTGTACTTTAAAGCTACACTAAACCACATTTTTAATTGACAATACAAGAAATTATATGTTTTGACCATTGACAAAAGGGGCGATCGGTTCAGGGTGGTTTCGTTTCTGGGAGCTGTCAGCCTGTCCATCATATACAGTCAATGGCTGTGACAGGTTTTGCTCATAGCGACGACCCCACAGAGAATTTTCTCCTGACTATATAACTCCCCCCACCCATCTATACTGAGGGTTTTAGCGTTTTTCAGTTTGTTGTTTTGGTTTTACAATGTTACAGTTTTGGTTCGTTCTCACCGCTCTCATCCCCAAACAGCAGTCAGTGATTAGCTGGGGAACATAGTGGAGCGTTGAGCAGCTAAAGAGCCAGATGTTTCCCTCAGGAGTGGGAGAATAAACAAGAGCTAAAACTTCTACATCCTGGACTTATATTTGTCAGCTGGACACAAACATGGCTCCAAATCAATGATGGTGTTGCTCTGTGTCAGCAGGATGTGTAAATAGCCAACTGTTTGCTAACAGGTGTCATAATGTTGTGTGTAGAGTTGGTCTCCAAATTACCAAAAAAAAAGGAATGCAGGTTTAAAGGGCATCATTAGAAACTTTAGAGGTGAGCAGGAGAAGACTTGATATCTTCATTGTGGGCTGAACTATTCCTTTAAGATTGGTGGGGTGTTTTCCACAGTGCAGTTTGCAGTGTGACACCTAGCGTGATGCCACCAGCAGTCAGAATGTAATATTCAGCTCAGATAAATGTGTTGTAGTTGGCAGCTGTGATCAGAGTGGACAACGGGCACTCAGTCACTTCTTGCCTTTGTGCTCGGTTCATAATGTGTTTTAGATGTTTGGATGATAATCCGTCCTCATACCTGAGATGCTGTTTTACTTCAGATTAACCTCTGGTCCATCCCTCCTCCAAGTCACCAGACAGTTGAAGAGAGGTAGACACTAACAACTACACTAAGGGTTTTCTCCACAGTTCTGGCCCTGTGAGCCATGTCCTGACTTGATCCTGAGAGAACAGGATTTATAAAGAGGAATTTCCAAGTCGCAGAAATGCAAATAGTCACTCTTCCTGTTTTATAGTAACTATTATTATTTGTAGTCACGCCCTCATCAGCACCCAGTTTTAAAACCCGATACCGACCTTATGTGTACCCATGACCCTGTTACGTTCTGTTACAGTGTCCCATGTCATACATCGATTTTGTGCGTGACAGATGTGGACTTGAGTTCCTGCAGTTATGTCACCTGGCAAGCGCTCCTGCAGTGCATTTGTTATTTTAGAAAGGTCCAAGGTATCTTCATGGGTATGGGACACACCACCCTGGTGTGCTGAATGTCACAGGGCCTACACTGCTCACTATCCTGCAGGTGCAGCAACAATGTGGCTCGCTAATGTGAGAGCAGCATCTCACTCTGTCCTACAGCCTGGTTTATATCATGTGACCACACCATTACCTCGTCAAGCTCTAAGAAAATCTCAGTGAATGTATTTACATACACACTAGTATCCTGGTTATTGGATTTTGAAAGTATCTTAATACTGTAACATGTAAATACACGTTATTTAGGTTTCTGATCATTGTTTACCATGTGTGCAAGTGTGTCAAATGAAGTTACAAAGTAGTCAGTCAAACAAAAACTATGATGATTGGCGCTCTTGTCATCTATTACCAGTGATCCGGCCATGTAATGCAGCAGTCACTGTTCATACTGCCTCCGTTCTAACATCACACACTTCACTTTATCATTCAGATGACAAATAAACAATCCCACCTCTATATGGGGTCACGGAGGCCCTGATTAAACCCTACACAAAACCTTAGCTGCAGTATTCATAATAATATTGTCCATATCTTTAAAATGCTGTGATATAAGCTCTCCCTCCCTTCACTTTCATCTTTCTCCTTATTCTTCTGTTTCTCTTTTGTCCACCCATAAACCCTCAACTCACAAAGATGGTGTTAGATCATACATGAGCATAAAAGACCCTTGTGGATTTGAATGTTTCATTTCCTCTGTTTTCTACTGTCTAAGACATCATGTGTTTGGGGGCAGTTTTAGACAATGTTCCAGACATATGTAGCAATTTTGTGGCCGTCAGACATGCCACATAATATTTCTTTATAAATCTTTAAGAGGTATGAGATTTTTGTTTGTCTGTGCTTCATGATTATAAGTATTTGGCTGTGGTTTGTTGTTTTCTTTCATGACATTGTGATTCCTTGTGACTAGGCCATTAGTACACCACACTGGGGAGGCCTCCTCAACCATACACACTACCTCTCCGTCTGCCTACACAGACCTAAACACTGAAATGCATGAACACAAGCAGTTAATATGCCAGGTTGCAGCAGAGCAGAGTGACAGATTGCAGAACAAAAAATTGGCCTAAAATTCTCCACATCTCACCAGTGTTTATATCTGGAACGCCAAGTGACAAATAATTTGTGACAGTGTGTTTATTTTGCCAAAGTAGCCTAGATTTTGGCTAGTGTGTTATGCTGGGTTGCAGTTTATGCATTATGCTATGTTTTTACATGTTTTGAAGCAGCAGCAATATAGTACTGTATTTAAAAGAATGTTCCACCAACCTTCCCTAGAAAAGCCTAACACATACAGGTGCCAAAATTCAGCGCTGCTTGCCACGTACTTTCCATGCTGATTTGATCAATCAAAGCAGGTACTTGTGTCTTATCAAATGATTAGTGTGGCCTGCAGTTACCATGGAAGGAGTGTTGTTCAAATGGCCTCTAAGTACAAGTATTTTGTTGTTGTTGTTGATAATCACTTGATCTGGATTTAATTTTGTAATGTGGAGGCGGTTCAAAACTGGATTTTTTAAAATATATATGTATATGAATATAATGCTGTAAAGTGCAGTCATGGATTAAGAGATTTCTCTTTCACATCAATACAGTAAAAAGAATAAAGTCACAGTGAAATGGGTTGTTTTTGTCAGTCTCAAACATTATTAAACAGTAAACAACCTGTTAAAGCAATGCAGAAAAAGAAGCAGTACTCACAACTGGTTTAATAATTATTTATTAATTTTTGTTTTTCGTTCAGTCAGTCTACTGATCCACACTCCAGTAGGTGGCGGTAATGCGCGTGAAACTTGGTTTTCCTACCCGCTATTAATTGCAGAGAAGAAGAAGCAGCTGCATTCAGCGTGTTTCCGGTTGGTAAAAAAAAAAACAAAATGGCTCAGGGTAAGCAGAAGTTTACAGCTCAGCGGCCAGGATCTTCCAAAAAACACCAACAGAACAAACAGAAAGGACCGAAGAAAGGAGGTGGGAATCCTTCACCTTATGTTGTTTCCTGAGTTACCGAAGGAGGCGTAGAAAGTGATTTAGTAGAACAGCATCGATAACGACCTGCGTAGACACCGATGAACACGCTGTGTTGCCCCTTATCATTGCCGGTACCAAATTCACCTGTTGGGATATTTGTTTTGGAAACCACTGGATAACAATTTCGTGCTTTTTCTTTCAATTTTGTATTCTAGAGATTTTCACTTAAAAAGTGAAGGTGTCTCGAAGAAACAGCGATGTATGACAACATCATCTTGACCTTAATTTTTGGTAACAATAAAGCATCGCAGTATAACTACACGCCATTGTAGTGGGTAAATCTAATGTAGTCTGTTACAAGAGCACTGCAAAAGCCAGCCTTCGTGAAGGTTATACTATTCATGCTTTGTGCACTGTACAATCGTCTCGGAACTGAAAATACAGCCAGTTGATCTTGGACAAGGAATATGTTACTTAAACGGCAACTAAATGCTGTGATTTACATAGTTAATGCTGTCTGATTTCAGAAAGATGTGATTTCCTTTCATAATCAGTTCGAAATGTCATTTGTAAATTTGACTTATTTTTTTCCTTTGTAAAGGGAGGATCATTGCACCTAAGAAAGCTCAAGTGGTCCAGCAACAGAAGCTGAAGAAGGTGAGATAGAAAGATTATTTAATTTATCCCCAAAGGAAAATGCCAGTGTTGCAGCAGCCAATTAATGATTAACAGAAACAAAGTATACAATGATTTTTAAAGGTTAAATTGTGTGCAAAAGCTAAATAGCCTAAAGTAAAACATAAGTTAAATATATAAAACAAATAGGGCTGGAATAAAGATAGGAAAACCTTACGTACATTAGTACAAGTCAGGTGGATAATCTAAAGAATTTGTCTCAGCCCAGATTTTTAAATTTAACATTAACTACAAATACATCAGTAAACTGGCTGACTCAAGTTTAACATTTCTTCCTCTACTGTTTCCTGAAGGGTTTAGAGGTTGCCATCAGAAACAAGATTGAGCAGGAGGTGACCCAGAAGGCCAGCTCCTCCCTCCACAAGCCACTGAGTGTGGTTAAAGGGGCTGAACGTAAAGGCAACCCAGGAGCAGTCCATCCAGGAACCAGCTCCAAATAGGACCAGATACAGAAGAACACCTAGAGACCTGATCTGATGTGCTGCCTTTTATTACTTTGCAAGCAAGCAAAGTTTATTTATGTAGCACCTTTCTAAACCTACGTTACAAGGTGCTTTACAGTAAAACATAAGAAATAATAGCGATAAATAAAACCAGATAAAACACATCTCAGTAATAGCAAAAATACATAATCAAAACAAATACATCAATCAGTGAAGTTGTTAAAAGCTTGTGTAAAACCAAAGGATCCTGGCACATGAGGTGTTGTAACACTTGTCTGAGTCTGCTCCAATCTAGCTGGGACATTGTTCACATATAAGAAGCAGGGTGCATGAATATGACCGTGGACACAGTGGAAATGTTACATCGCAGCAGAAAATGTAAAAAGGAAAGAATTACTGAAGTGTGAACCTTGATCCTGTTACTGTCAAAAATCCTTTGGGACATGTTCAACTCACTTCACAGGTGTAAATTCAAGTCCTGACTGAGCATTTCTGTAAATATTTAATAGTACTAAAACAGTCAGTTGTGAGCAGATTGGGAAGTACAGCATGGATGAATGAATTCATTCTGGTCATGTGCAGACTGGCGTCAAGTATAATGTGAGTTTTTCTGGACTTTAGTGAAAGTCTGATTAAAATTTGCCATATTAAATGTCAAAGTTTTTGTAAATGCTGTATTTCTTTAATGGAGTATTTGCATTAAATGTTATTTTAAGAAGTCCTCAAAGACATTTTTCAGTGATGTTTGAGCAAGAGACATTTTCTGTTTTGAGCAAAGTTCATCAAAGGCATCAGAAGGATTTTTTTTTTTAGGATAACAGACATCTGCTAAATGAAAGTTCAGATAAGTAATGTTATTCTTTGACAGTGTTGATAAGTTGATAAGTCTCCCATGTGCTGAAACTGCTGGTTTATCTGAACTGGCTCCTTGGAGATGCCTGCTCCTGCAGGTAACCTCATACTAGCCACCTGCAGTAGTCAAACCAATTGTAGTGTTGTAAGAGTACTCCACAGGTTTTTGCAGTGCAGTCCTGTCACCTTGTAAGACTCACAGTGAACAGTTAAAAATGCAGCAGAACCAGAAACATCTTGTGTTTTATCTCACACAGTCATTGTCCTTGTCAAAGCTGGGTACTGGCATTACCCCCGAAGCACCTTGACCACCAACAGAGATTTATGTTATGTTTCTAGTGGGTAATGTAGCACCAAGTGCAGATGAGGAGTTAGTAGAGGTCTGGTAAGCTCACATCTTTTGAACTATCAGATTTTTTTCTTTTGCAGACATAGACCCAACTGATGCTGACTCAAGTGACATTGTTTGAGCTTATATATCAGATGTTAAGGTTGTAGATGTGTAAAATTGGCGGCATTTCCCCTTTAATATGTGATTGAATTCAAAGACTTAAACATAACCAGGGCAGAGTCACATGCAGCCTTTTATTTTATGAGTGGTTTATTTTAATTCACTTGTAGAGTACGCTGTCCAGAGGTACTGTGCAGTTCTGTGTGAGTCTATTTAACTATGCCTACAACTCGGGTGTCATAGCACTAACAGCATGCAGCCTATATATGGTACACAATGACAACACTACCACATGGAACACAATCAGAATATGCTAGTTGTTAAAATGCAATCCACTATAAATTCATCAGCACTTATTTCTAAAGCAGGTGTGTGGTAACAAACAATCTTTGATTAGAAAGCCTTAATGGCTTCCATGCAGTGATGGGAGCGTAGGAACCGAGGAAAGGAGTCTTTGGCCATCAGAGCATAGATCCTTTGCTGGGCCTTGTTGAATGTGTCAGCGCATGGCGAGTCCATTACAGTCAGCAGAGCCTCGCGAGTCTCGGCGTCCAAGTTTACCTAAAAAGGATCAGGCAGAGGATCAACAGCAGCTCTTGAAAATGTATCCACTCTTCATGCTTTCATTTGTTAACACACACGTCCTTCAGTCTCAGGTCTCTGTGTTTCTCTCATCACTCTCCACCAACCTCCTGTGGGGCGTCAGGGTTAATAAACTGGCTGTAGATGCTGCCGGCCTTGGTCTTCTGCAGGTTTAAAGGTGAAACCCTGTAGTCCTCGCAAGCCAGCCAGAACTCAAGGTTCTCCTCACTGAACTCTGAACGCAGGAACACATGAAATGCCTGCAGACCACCTGGGAGATAGAGATGAAGATATCTGTCTTATCTTTAAGTGTGCCTACATGTAAATGTAGCAGCAAAATGTAAATGTTCTGTAACATTTATAATGCTAGATGCTAAAATGTAGTTTTTTAAAGCTCAAATTGACTGTACATGTGATATGAAATTATAATACAGAAAAGTCACATGCAAGCAAAAATGTCACTCAGTTGAGTTTATTGCAAAAAGTGCCTTCTAGTTCACAGGTCATACATAACTCAAAAATAAAATACCTCACCATTCATAGGAAAGTGCTTTGGTATAACAGTATATACAGGACGATGTCCGTCAGTCAGACACCTGCCTTCCTGCCAGATAACTTTTAAAACACCATACAGCAAGTTCCCTGAACATTAGCAGTAATCAATACTTATGGCTCATTGACACAATATATTGAAGTTTTGTTTTACAAATTAAGAATCAAAACATTAAAAGCTATACTCAAATAGTTTTCACAGGTGAGGTGACAGACCAGCTTCCTGAAATATGGCGGAGTCCTAAACTAATCAATCCCGTCTGGGCTTTTCACAAGTACAAAACTGCAGGGAATGTCATTTTTGGTGGAAACAAAAAAACAACAACATTCCTTTCATTTTATGGCCCAACACTGTAGTTTCAGTGGGTAACTACACAAAAATGGCAAAGGTATAGTTTAGCTACTTGAATGTAGGTCAGCTGCCAGCAAGCTACTGCAAAGTGTAATTCAACTAGTTTAAATTACTATTGCCCAACACTGAGCACAAGTACAAAGGGACCAAACTGAAAGAGCTGACTCAGGGATGACACAAACACTGCAACACCCAGCAGAACTCTACTGGCATTAGCCACCATACGCTACTGATCACACCAGATGAGGCTATGGCAGCAAAACCTGCAAGAGTGAAGTGAGCACATGCATGTTTTACTGTATACTATTTAATCTTTTCTCTTTGTAAGAAGAAGAATGTTATTTTCTTTTAAACATTACACAGACTTTTTAATTTATTTTCTACAGCGAAACCATTTTGGTCATGTTGTCCACATTAATATTCAGTCACTGTTTCAGCTTTATCATCGCACCTTATTAGATTAGATTAGAGTCGGCTTTATTGTCTTTACACATTTACAAGTACAAGGCAATGAAATACAGTTTAGCATCTAACCAGAAGTGCAATAACAGCAGTGCAAGTGCACAATATCTACAGTCAGTACTAATTTACCAATAGATATGTGCAATTGATATTTACAGTGAGATATATAAGGTAATATACAACAGTCTTTATGGATTTAAATTACAAGTAATGAATAAAGTATATTAAACTTATAAGAACTAGTGCAGTGGGATGAAATGGAATGAAATAATGCAGAATAACAAGATAAGTTACATGAGTTAACAGTTCAATGGATGTAAATACTGCAAAGATATATGTACAGTACAGTGTGCAAATGAATAACAGAGCAGTGTTATGTGAGTATGTGCAAATTAACACTGTGGTGGCTGACATGATGTTCCTGTGTATGAACAGAGAGTAGTGCAAGATCTATGGAAGATTATTTTTGACCAGAAAAGCAACAGGTGCAATAACCTTAACTTCATCAGTGGTTCTGTTTTGTTGTATCCAGTATGTCCTAGTAAGCCATTACAGTGTGGCAGTGAGTCCGCGTTCACACAAGCAGGACCCTTACACTGAGGTGGCCACCATTCATTTTATTATTTCCATGTTTTCCTTCTGTGACATGTCAAACAGACATGTTGCATGTCTTGTTTAAGCAATTAACTTATTTGGGAAGTTATGAAACAATAAATTAAGGGAAAACTATGCCTTACTTTTGTTGTTTAGCAGAGTTTCCAGATCCTGAAGCATTTTTCCATCCTGAATCCTGAGAAGAGAGACAGAAGCCATAAAAAATTCAGCTTCTCCATGAGTGGATTTACTGGTTTGAAATACAGGTTGGTTTACTTCTGCTTGTGGTGCGTCTCCGCAAAATGGCTTAACTTCACCCTGATCTCCTTTGCCCTGAAAAACACAGACATATGGTCTTGGTAAATGGTCTTATACTTGTATAGCGCCTTTCTATGCTTTTACAGCACACTCAAAGCACTTTCACACATTATTCGGCCATTCACCCATTCGCACTCCCAAGCACTCACACACCGGTGACATCACCAGGAGCAACTGGGGGTTTAGTGTCTTGCTCAAGGACACCTCGACATGTTGATTGAACAAGCCGGGAATTGAACCGCTAATCCTCCGGTTAGGAAACGACCCGCTCTACCTCCTGAGCCACAGCTGCCCCCCAACATGAAATCACGTATGATGCCCAACGCATCATAATACAAACTCATAAAGCATGATAACTGAGTTCCACACTTACTTCTCCAGGCATGACGAGGGCAGGGAGGAGAGCCCCTTACACATTGAGGTTTGTAGTCTGAGAACACCAACAAAGGGAAAATGAACAGACCAAGCAGTATTTGGATTTACTCTGAGGTTAATAAGTCAGCCTCCCAGACTACAGTGTGCTGCTCTTATATAGTCTACCTGTATGGTAACTGATCTGTCAGTCTGCTCCCCTGAGACCAGCAGGTGTGGAAATGGGATCTGAATAGAGGTGAAAACAGACAAATGAGAGAGATGATGTATGTGCTGACAGTCAACAGGGAGATATAATGGAAGTCAAAATCAAGGCAAGGGGACCTCCAGTCTGTGTGTGCGTGTGGTCAAGGATCATTAAAAGTCTCATAAACAAAGCCTAGACTGGCCATGATTGTGGTTATTTCAAGAGAATGAAGTGATGAGAGAGCAACAGGTGGGCTGGTATAATCCCTCACTGGTAAACGGCTGGAGGAGAGCGTGTTCGATCAAGATGGACAAGATAAGCCAAAATAGAACAGTAACACCTGACAAGATCATTAAATACAGTACTTCTGCATTAACAGTAAGACCAGTATATTTTCCACTTGTTAGTGTCCTGTGGCTGTTATGTAAAATGATGTTATATCAACTTTAAGGCATAATGTAAAATATTGCTCAACTCTTTGTTTGCGCTGTTATTTTATAGTGTGGACTTTTCACAGAGATACATCCTGTCCAGTCTAGTCTTTTAAAATGATCGCTATTTGCATAGTCATTTAGGCTTTTTTCAGTAATAAGACAAGAGGAAGAAGAAATAAATGTGTAACAGCTTTATCAAAAAAAAAAAAATTCAAACAATATTAAAATCAAATTAGTATTTTTTTTTAAATACATCTTAAAACATGTCTGAAAGGTTCTTTGGAAGGATACTGAACTAGTATGTTACAAGAAGTCCTGCCTTTACTTACTGAAAGCAGAAGTACTTGTTTGTGTACTTGTAGTGTTTGTATTGATACTAACACAGAAGCATTTTAATATCATAGCTGGTCAATGCGGAGCTAATTGTCACTACCTCATGTTATTATTGTGTTCAATGTAGCAATGCATTATGTTTTAAAAGTTAATCATTTTTAAGCATTCTATTTTGCATGGGGTCTGAATTTTTTTTTTTTTTTTTTTTTTTTTTTTTGAGGGGGGTGGGTGCACGTTGGGGGCCATGCACTTTTAGTTTGACCTTGTATTTCAGAAATGGCCCTGATTGAGGATCGTCAGTCTGTCACGTCAGGAGCAAACTGGATCCTTAACAGGTCGATACCACCATCTGTAGGCCTGTTCGCCGAAAACCATTAATACACTAACTGTAAGTATCGACCTTTCTCTCGCTTCCTGCTTCCTCAACAAGAGTCGCTCTGCAGGACGCGGCGGTCAGTAGTGGGAAGCACAGGGACCTTCTGGACCTGCTGAATCCACAGGGAGCTGCTTGTTCGGTGTCAAGTCCGGTTTCAGCGCGGGCTCGGATCCAGTTGAGCCCCGGACCCAGCGTAGTCCTGCTCCTCTCTGCGTCTCACCATGCGCGGCGGGTCGGTCTGGAGGTAAACACCGAGCGCGAGTCCCAAAACGGTCTCGTAGGTTTTATTATTAGACCAAAACAGGTTCCACAGCATCAATGTCGGCAAGTGTACGCTTTAATACCAAACTGCTCCTGACCATATGGATCAACCTGAGTTTATGGTGTATGGAGCTGCCAATGTAGGCTTGTTTGTGTAACAACCAAACATCTGGTCCACTCCTCACAAGGTGTGGCCTCGGAGTTTTAAAATGATCAAAACGGACCTTATCTTATAACACTAACCAGAATGTAGGCCTAGTCTAGATAATGTAAACTGACTCTCTGAAGCAACCTCACCCCTGACTGCAATATGTGGCGACAGAATAACAATAACACCATGTAATGAGGTATATTCAGTGTAAAACTGCTAAACATAATGTAAACTGTGTTGTTCCATAAGCATCTTGGCTTATGACCCCTTAAAACAGTTATGTCTACTTGTGACTCCTTATCACTGGTGGTCAGTTCAAACAGAAAATTATTATTGTTGTTGTTTTCACTTTGTATTAAGTTAATTTTATGGGGAATTGTTAGAGTCCTGAAGTAGTTAAATTATCCAATGAATGAGGGGGAAAATGAGAAAAACACCTGAAAGATAAAAATTAAATAACTTTGCAGAGCTGAAATTTAGGTTAAGGAGAAGCCCATTAACACCAGAGCCTGGGTTCTCTACTCCCCAGGACCTGTGCACAGGTCCTGGGGAGCAGCCTAACAGGTCCTGGGGAGTAGCCTACTACAGCATCCTGTATGTCACAAGGTTGTATAAAATCTTTTGTTTGGGGGTGTGAAGTCTGAAAGATGTGAGCAAACTCCTCAAGTATACATTACACCTGAATCTCAGAACAAACTGTTGGCGAGCAAATTGTATTGTGGGTGATGTAGGCATGAAGTTTTGACAAGGAAGAAATGTATAGACTGATTTTGCAATGCTAAATTGATGAAGTACTTTTTAAATGACTTGCCAGAATCACCTCATGGCCCACTGTGGGGTCTCCCACCTCCTAATTGGGAACCAGTGGTCTAAATAAATGTACATCACCATTTGATTTCCTTCAATGCTGTCTTTTTTCTGAGTCAGGTGGTGGTGATTGAACCAGTGTCCTGGTATCCCATCAGCAGGCTCTGACTCAGAACAGTTATGGGCTCTCAAGGAACATGGGTCCCATGGGCACACTGCCAGGACAGGGACAGTCCTGGTCCAGACCAGGAGAGGGAGAAGTGCTGGGCTGAGCTGTTTGATCAGCTGGACCTCAACAAAGATGGACGCATTGACATCCTTGAACTGCGGACAGGGCTGGCAGGTCAAGGACTTTCAGCAGGTTCCTTTGAGAGGGTGAGATACAGGATCACACAGATCTGTTTGTTCTCTGGGATACCATGCACTGGCATGTGCATGTGTGATGTGAGCGCTACGTCACACTGAAGACGTACAGTTGTGTCAGTGTTCTGCAGTCAGATTAAGTTATCTTGGTCAGTAGACATAGGGCTCTGACACTCTGTTACCATCAGTCAATCAATCAATCAATCAGTCAATAAATTATCCCTTATCTGTTACCGACTGAAGCTGTTAACCAACACACACATAGAGATAGTGGCATATTTGACAAGCCATGGAGGTGGAGCTGACATGTTTGTCATATGTTGTGACACAACCATTGTTAAATAATGGTTATATACATGTCAGCTGTGTCATGGTTGTGTCAGTGTGTGTCTGTGAGAAAAAGGGAGAGACGGGGTGTTTAAAGGGTTTTCCTTCTCTATTAATAAATCACATGACCCAGTGGTCTCTCCTCTCCTCTCCACACTCAACATCCAGTGAAGGCCTATGAGATCTTTAACATTTTTTCTTATGCAAACCTCTTGAATTTCTTTAATCTGGCAGTAACATCAACAAAATAACTCTGTTGTGACTACACACAATCTGCCTCTCTCTCCTCTCAGACCGTGGTCTGCCTCTCTCCTCTCAGCCTGTCTGTGTCTGTTTGTTTTCACAAAATGTGTGTGGGTCACTATGACGTTGTCACATTCTCCCCTGCTGCTGCTTCTCTCTGTTCTTTGTTGGTGCAAAATGTATTATTCATGTTGTGGGAACATAAACAGTGACACTGTGGATACCTGTCTCCAAATTACAAGTCCCCACAGTGTACATTCTTAAATGTTATGAGTTTTAGGCTAGGGTAAAAGCTGGTGGGGCTAGCAGTGTGAGGCTGTGTGTGTGTGTGTACACATGTGAAGGGCAGCATACAGTCTATTTTGGTACAAGAAGCAGGACCTTGTAAGATGAGAACGGTAACCTTTCTTTTGGTTCCTCATTCTTTTTAAGGATAGATCTTTGTCCAAAGTGTAATTCACACTGGAACAATTTGCATGTCTCCCTTTTCCTTCACACATAGGCTTTTGATTTTAAACATTTTGACAATATTTCCATAATTGATGATAGATGAAAATTAGTCTATTTAAGGATAATAAATGAGATTCTGATCATTCATACTGATGTTTGATTTGGTTATCCAAGCCTTTTGTTTAAAATGCAGATTATATAGTATATCTATCCTCAGTGTACATTTAAAATACTATAACATGTTTACACTGTATTCAGTTAACAAAACCATCAAAATAAATTATAATAAACAACTGCCACATGCACAGTCTTTAATTACTGCATAAAACAGGCTGCTATATCTTTACTAATCAAGACAAATGAATTACATTAACACAAACCTCTTGTTTTAAACTTCTTTATGTAGGCCATTCCTCAAGTACACAACAAGCTGTAGCATTATTTGACCAACAGATGGCAAGATAGAGGTTTATTTAAAGACTGCAAACTTAGTGTGCAGTTTCTATCTTGTGGTATTTCGCAACAGTCTGGGTCACCTCTGCTGTATTTGTAATAGACTCGGCAAACTTATGACGTTGCACGTAATTAATGATAGACTGCTTTTGCAATACATGAAAAGCATGATATGATGTCTGATCTTTCTGGTGAGGTTTGGCCAAAATATATTATGTTAATATATTTTTTATATACAAAAAATGTGGATTTTGGGCTGTTATTCATGAGGCATTTGTTGTTGTTGTTTACAATTTACTTTCTAACTAACTGTACATTTTTGGTCCCTGACCAAATATCTGCTGAATGCCCAGACATTTATTTTTCAGTGATCTAGCTGTCTCTGCTTTCAGATCGTGGAGACTGGGGACACCAACCAGGATGGAGTACTGGACTTTGAAGAGTTCACACAGTATCTTCGCAACCATGAAAAACAGCTCAAGCTCATGTTTAGCAGCCTGGACAGGAACAATGATGGTCTTTACAAGTCTCTAACCACATTGAGATAATAATTAATGGCTCGTGTTAAGATAATTACAAAAAGATCTCCATATTGTTTCTGTCTTGCTCTTTGTGTGTGACTGGTGGGTATTTGCAGGGCAGATAGATGCAGTGGAGATCCAGCACTGTCTACACAGCCTCGGTGTGAACATCAGCCTGGAGGATGCCACCAAGATTTTGCTAAGGTCTGTTATCAGTGTGTCAATATCTCATATCAAACACAACAGCAAATTTCACTTCGTACTACAACTGGTCTCTAAACATGTTGAGTAAGTGCTTACAAGTTTTACAGCTCTGTCAGTCAAATAGTTTGATATTCAATGAGTTTAAAAGGCTGCTTAAGCGTCACATGTCTAAGCTTTGTATCTTGATATGATATCTTTTTTTTTAACTGAATGAAAAAGACGTGGAGTCTTCATCTGGCTGGTGTAGGCACACAGGGTTTGATACTGCTAAGAGAGACTAAAGGACTCCTCTTTGCTATCTTTTAAACTTAAGCAAATTATTGTTCCTACCTTCTCCAGCTTTATATCAACTATAATGACTCTGCTTTATGTTAACAATTTTCAACATTATATAATTTCAACATTTGTTTATGTGTTAATCTAGTATGGACAAAGATGGTACCATGACCATTGACTGGAATGAGTGGCGAGACTATTTCCTGTTTAATCCTCTCACTAACATGGAGGAAGTGGCACTTTACTGGAAACATTCAGTGGTGAGGTCGCACACACTTAAACTAACAAACCTTGAAGAGCATTGTGTATACTTTTGTATACTCAACTCTGTCTGTCTTCTTCTCTCCTCTTTATTATAATAATTTTCTGATCTGCATTCTTACTACCACGGCTCCAGTAGATGGTGGATATCGGCGAGCTTTTGACAGTCCCAGATGAATTTTCAGAAGAAGAGAAGAAGTCTGGCTTTGTGTGGCGGCAGCTGATGGCTGGAGCTATGGCTGGATCTGTATCTCGGACTGGAACTGCCCCCTTGGACCGTCTCAAAGTCTTCCGACAGGTCAGCAAGCATCAGTTATGATCTTATGATTGGCCTAAATTAAATGATCATTCATGTGTTAGTGCTTATATGTGAAATGGTTCTGTGTCAGTCAGCCATCACTGATTTACACAAAGTAATAACTTTTTCGTTTCCTCTGTCAGGTTCATGGTTCCACTGACTTTAAAGGGAATGTGCTGAGCAGTTTTCAGTATATGGTGAAAGAGGGAGGAGTGCGGTCGTTGTGGAGGGGCAATGGAATCAATGTTCTTAAAATTGCCCCAGAGACTGCTATCAAGTTCTCAGCTTATGAACAGGTGAAGCAGAGCTCAGACCTTCCCCTATCTTTTTTCTACACCTCTGAACACCCGTTCATCTTTGATCTCCCTTATTATTTTTTCTTTCTCCTACCTCTTACCAACTTTGATGGAATTTTAAATGATTTTTCATTTTGTTTCCAACCAACATGAAATTGCCCTTTATATGTTGCATCATTTTTCTGATTTACCCAGGCATATGTTTAATGGAATAGTTCAACAGTTTGGGCAAATACACTTGTTTTCTTGCCAAAATTTAGATAGTTTGAACGCTAAATATGAAACTACTTGGCAGCAGCTACTTAGCTTATCTTAGCATAAAGGCCATTAACAGGTCTTGAAAACAAATACTGGACTGTTGGAGTGTTCCATTTGAACTGGGAAATTCCCAGTGAAAATTTCAACTATAACACCCCCTGAAGTCAGATTTCCAACTCGGAAAGTCAGAAGAAATTCACCAACCCCGATCTCAAAATCCAAGATGGCTTCTCTGAGCATCAGCAGTAAAAAGCTGTCATAATATACTTTTTATTAGCACTTTTGATTTATTTGTGTCTCAATAAAACAGTCATACACACAGTACTGTCAAACTTCTATCTGTGAACAAGTTGCTAAACTGTTTGTATGTACAAAATATCACAGAATGCATTGTTATAAACTGGTATTGCTAACAGTGGATAACAATAGCTAACCTGGCTCAAACTGATGGTTAACTGCAACTGGAACGTAGTTAACTTGGGTGTGACATCATTTCCAGCTCCAGCTTCCCAGTAAAACATTTTTTTGCTTAGGTTTTTGTATAGATTAAACAAATAAATTATAATGTGTTTATTAGTGTATTTTAGAGTTTTGTTGTTTCCCTCCATTTCAAGTCTTTGTGCTGTTATACCCCAGTTCTTTTACTGGACAGATCTGAGTAAAAAAGGAGTCCGTCCTTCTTGATTTTAGTGCTGGTTTATTTACAGAAATATATATATAAATATATGTATAAAAAGGATTACAGAACACTGTCCCACAGACTCCATCTCTTATCTAGAGCTCCACATTCTTGGAGCAGCCGCGTATTACCTAGTCATAACAAAATGAGGTAGCTCAATGTGTGTGTATGTTGTATGCGTGATGTGTAACTAAACATTCATTCAGACATAATTCTTACACAAGATTAATACAAGAAAACAATTGGTGTCATGGCTTACTGCTAACCTTGAAGCAGAGCACACAGGAGCAGACTTTGAATCTTACTAAACTGCATTACTAACGCCCATTAAAGTCTAATAATTATCTGACTAATTTATTAATTTCTAACAGTGCTAAGTTAAGCTAACCAGCTGCTGGTTCTATTCTCATATTTAACAGAGATGAAAGTGGTAGGAATCTTCACATCTAACTTTCAACAAGAAAGCAAATAAGCATGTTTCTCAAAATGTTGAGTAATGTTGAGGATTATTTTCCATCAATCCTGTATTATCATTTTGCATTTGTCTATGATTGAATAATTGTTTACTTTATTTTTTCTGTTGCTTGTCGACGCTGCATAGATCAAGAATGTGATGCGTGGTGGTAATGACACAAAAAATCTAAAGGTTCATGAGAGGTTTGTGGCCGGCTCTATGGCTGGAGCTACAGCTCAGACAGCTATCTATCCAATGGAGGTAATATCAGGGTAATACACATATAAAGACATTCATATGGCCTCAAGAAAACACATTTCCTGGTTTGCATGACCAGTGAAATAACTGATTTATTTTCTCTATTCTTCCTCCTTGTTGTTTCCTTTTCATCTTCCATCGCTCCTTTTTTGTTTTCCCTTCAGGTGCTGAAGACCCGTCTCACACTAAGAAAAACAGGCCAATACTCAGGAATAGCAGACTGTGCCAAACAAATCCTACAGAAGGAAGGTGTCGCAGTGTTCTACAAGGGTTATGTACCAAACTTGCTGGGTATTGTACCTTATGCTGGCATTGACCTGGCTGTCTATGAGGTCAGAAACGTGAAAGCACACAGCTCTCAAAATGCATATCTTCTTAGTGTTTATTATCTTTCTCATGCTCTTTCTTTCCCAGACTCTGAAGTTTGCCTGGCTGAACAGGAACATTGGCTCAGTCGACCCAGGGGTCATGGTGCTGGTCGGCTGCGGTGCTGTCTCCAGCACTTGTGGACAGCTGGCAAGTTACCCGTTGGCACTGATCCGCACTCGAATGCAGGCACAAGGTCAGGATAACTGTAGATACAGACTGGGGACAAATGAATGGAAATCCAACATAAACTGTCTTAGTAAGGTCTTGAGCCACCACAAGGATCAAAACCAGCTCCAGTGCTCCTCCAAGTCTCTAAACTTTACTTGAGGGATGGCCACCATTCTTCTTAAAAACATTGCCTCATTTATTGTTTTGATGATGGTGGTGGATATGCCATGTACCATGGTGCTTCAGAATTTACCATAGGTGATCAGTTTGCCTGAGCTCTCGTGACAGCAAATGAGTCACATCATTTTCACAATCACTGACACCTTGTGTGCACTCTTTTACTCATTTATTCAGGTTTTGCCTTTAATTTGACACTTATCTGAGTGTACAAAGAAATGTTCATTTTGCAAATGGCAAAACTGCAAAAGCCATGAATAAAGAGCTATACTGATGATTAAGCCAGTTAACTAAAAATTGTGTATGCTGTAACATACTGCTGACTTTTTTTAAAAGTATACTATTAGTTAATCTATTAATATCATACCTTATTGTGAGCCACTGGTTTGTGTCAGTTTCACTGTGAGTCTTGAGTTGCCTTTGATGAGCAATCCATTTTACTGATGTTGTCAGTAAATCAGACCCAGCTGACAAACAATATGTACACATGGCCCTAGTGAAAATGAGGAAGGTTGAGCATTCTTGACAAAAGAAAAATATCAACTCAAGGTCCACTTGGTAACACGGCCATCTTCAGTGAGTAGAGTTTGCTCAGTGGTCATCATGTGACCAAAGGTCCATGCTTAGCTCGAGTGATGATAACAGCCAAATCCATCTGAAGAATAAACCCATGAGATGCAATTGAAAGCTGTGTAAAAAGCTAGTAAGTGGATTTTAAATTTAAAAGCGATTTAAGAGAGATTCTGTCAAATGATGGTAGTTGTTGTTTCTTGCAAACAAAAAGTTGCTCACATGTCTTGAATATTGGTGCATCACTGAACAAGTTATTAAAACAGTTCCTGCTCACAACTTCATTATCACACTAATGTAAATTAGACAAATCGGGCAACTAAATGTCAATCCCAATTTGTTTAACCCATACATTAATGTAAATCAGGCAGGTAGGAAACCATTTCATGGTCTACTTACTAGTATTTTTCTGAGCTTTCTACTTCAAATTTTATTTTAGTCATGCAAACATGACTTCAGTGTCAAATGTAATCAGACCAGAAAGTGTTGATGAAGCCTATCCATTTTCTCTCTCCACAGCTTCAGAGAAGGGAGCCCCTAAACCCTCCATGTTGGCCTTGCTTCACAACATCGTGACCCAGGAAGGTGTTGCCGGACTTTATCGAGGAATTTCCCCCAACCTGCTGAAAGTCATCCCTGCTGTCAGCATTTCATATGTTGTCTATGAATACACGAGGATAGTCCTGGGAGTGGACATTGAGGGTAGGAGAGGAGGGAAGGGGAAAGGGTAGGAAAAGGAAAGATGACTTGGGTCTGGCTTTATCTACAAGCATGTGCAGATCTGATGGCAGTGCATGAGGAAATGAGCCTGGATTGTGGGTGAATACATAGTCCTCTGATTGCTAGTCTTGACATTATATGTTGAAGATGACAGGATGAAAAATAAACCATGGAAGGAAAAGTGATTAACAGATAAACATTATGTATAATCCATTGTGAAAAACTCACCTGAAATTGCAGTTACTGTGAAGAGTTTCAAGTGACATGCATTCCATATTACATTGAAATGCATGCAGTTGTGTGAAAGCTAACAGCTACTACTGCATTTCACATGGACAGATGGAAACTTGCATCAACTTGCCTGAGAATGAGCAGATAGAAGGTGTAACCACATTTGCAGTCCATGTTACATTCCTACATCACAGTTATTTCTCCTAGGTGGTCCTTAGAGAAGATAAAGGATTGATAAGAAGATTTGTTCAAATCCCCATGGATCACAACGTTCTGGACACCAGTAAAGTTGCACTCAGGACTTTGACTTAGATATTCCAAACTATAGAAATACTGTAATTGTCAAGCAGCATTTAATAATGCCAGTACTGATAATTACCAAGTTTAATCTTGTGTGACCTCATGGACAATGAATTGGAAGATGGTGAAAATAAGAGATGTCAATATTCTCTTTCATGGAGGTATTCAATAAGAGATGTTGTCAATATTCTCTTTCATGGAGGTATTACTCCTGAGTAAAGCACACCAAAGATTTTTTATTTTACAAGTGAGAAACTGCTAAAGCTGTATCAAGAAGAGCACAGAAGATTCAAGATAACCTCTCATGCAAACGGCCCACCATGTTTCATGGGTATTCACTTTTGTGCCTGCTTTGTTGTATGTGAACACTACTAGGTTCAGTGCCATATACTGTAAATAGACTACTTTCATAAACTGTATATGCACAGTGTGCAGATTTAGCACTGTGGAAAAGACATGATTTTGACTGTGTCATGAAACTATGAGAAATGGGATTTAATGCCAAAACTAGAGTTAAGTGTCAGTATTCATTATGGAATGTGCAGATAAATGCATGCATTGTGTTGCTTTTGTTAAATAAATACCACAGAGCTTTTTAATAGAGAACTAAAGTTTCCATTTGAAATTACAAATGTCAAAATTAAATAAAATCACAGCACTAGTACTGTACACTTTGTCCTGTAGCTACTGTTACACTGCTACTAATACTGTAAGTTTTGTCCATTTTATCAAGGTCTGTAACTGGCTGTGCAGTATAATAATTATACAAGCAAATGTGGAGGTTTTCTTGAATATCTGTGGAGCAAATAGAGTCACAGTTCAGTTGGTGCCCTTCCAATTAATTCAGTTCACTGCTAACATAAGCTGGGAAGTCCTAATTCGGTTTGCACCAGGTGAGCTGAAGATGTGCACAAATGTGAACTGTGAGAGGCAAGCTTGCAATTCGACATATATGAAGAATAAGAAAAGGTAAAGTTAAATAATAAGCAAATATTATATTGTTACCAAATTTGCTTTATAATTAGGGCAACATTATTTTATTTTGAGGAAACGTCCTAGTAAATTATTAGGAAGTGACTCTCCAAAACATTAAAATACAAATACATAGTCATCAGTTTTTCAGAATAAATGAGGGAGGAATGGATCTGATATGGTACCCTAAGTAAAAAAAACATAGTTTAATGAACATACATAAATGGCCACGAACTGTAATGTGTTATTATTAGAAAACAATTAAATGCCATGACTACAATCATAGTTTTTATCTGCACTTTAATGGGAGTGCAACTGCGTTTTTTAGCGTTAATTGTTAAAAATAAGACTCCATTGTATGTAGCTGTTAAACAGTTTCCAAAAATGGGTTTATTTAAGGTGGAAATGAATAACATGCTATAAACACTGGCTGGCGCTACACTCCAGCCCAGAAGGTGGCGGGATGTTGGCTCTTATTTTGTAACGTGGGACATTAACCCCAGAAAGGAGGAAGAAGAAATCCGGGTCAAAGATGCATTGATTGGTTATTTTAAGCAGGGAAGTTTGCCGGCGTGGTTGGCGAGCTTGCTTACATTGGTGTCTCCCTCGTACGCTCCCTTTTAGCCTTCCCGCTTCTGCGCAGCTCGACCCGGCCAAAGCGATACAGCCTGTCTCCTCTGTTTTTATCTGCCCCTTGTGAGCAGCATGTCTGATTACGGTGGTCTACCGACAAATGGAGTCGGTGCTGGGATGAAAAAAGACGCCTTTGCTGATGCTGTAGAACGAGCCAGACAGGTAACTAGCGGGAGTAACACGGTAGCTAGCTTTATTAGCCGTGGCCTTAGCTTTATATAAGTAGCTAGCAGGCTAGCTTATAGCAGTGCCATTCATGTTTGTAGTCTAACACACTCGCCAGGTCGAAGGATCAGTTGAAAAGGTTTGGAGGGTAGTGTGAGCTGAACAGCAATGTAGATAACAGTTTTGTGTAAAAACAGGATCCTGTAGTACGCTAGTTCTTTAATTGAGCAGTCCGTCTTTCTTCGTCTAGTGCGGGTTCATTTTAACCACAAGCAAAATTACAAACACGACCCGGGTTGCTCCCATTTCCAGACACACACAGGCCGCTGGAAAGTGGAGTCCCCCCGCCACACAGAACCTAAATACATTTATAAGGTTTAGGCTAACCCCTTACTCAGAAAGATTACCAAAAAAAAATTTCCAGATGAAGTCAATCCGAAGAGTCCGTCTCTTATCTAGTGCTCCACTTGCTTTGAGCAGCTGCGTTTTTACCTAGTCATAACAAAACGAAGAATTTCAATGTGTGTATGTTGTCCAATGGTGTGTAGCTAAGGCATTCATTCGTTTGTTCAGACTTAATATTCTAATACAAGATTAATACAGGAAAAGAATTGGTGTCATAAGTACCTATGGTTCACTTTTCAGAATCAACATTCTGTCTGCTAACCTTGAAACAAAACGGACTAGAGCAGACTTTAAATCTTACTAAACTGCATTACTAACACATTTGATTCAACACATTAATGTCTAACATTATCCAACTGTTTTACTAATATCTAACAATCCTTTATTTAAGTTAAATAGAATAGCTACTGGAGATAAGTTGGCTAGGCAAGTAACAAACGTTAAGCTAACCGTGAAGTTACAAATGGTTTCAGAAAGAGCAACATTGTCGTGGCTTTGTGATGGTCTTGAAGCCCCCGTGAGTGAAACTTGGTTTCAGAAAGAGCAACGTTGTCGTGGCTTTGTGATGGTCTTGAAGTAACGTTAAGGTCAATATTACACTATATCGATAACTAATGTAACATTTAGATCCACAAAGGATCTAAATGTTGTTTACAAGTTATTTAGTGGCTAAGTTTTCAATATTCATTTGCTGCTTGTTTTACGGACGGTGGCAGCAGCGTGGAGCTGCATTACAGGTCTTTGATTTGATTTATTCTTTCAAACATGCAGAACAAACGGCATCAACACACACATAATGATACAAATCCAACCAATGCTGATTCAGAATCAGTTTGCTTATACCTAGTACATGTTTGAATGGAGTAGGAAGAAGTCAGACTTATCCAGTCCTACCCCATAACATCATCTTATACAAAAAAGTACTGTTTTTCATGTCCACACTTAAATTATTCCATAATTTGACCCCACTTATAGAAATACAAAATCTTTTTTTGGTCGTACGTATAGCATGAACTTTTAGATTCAACTGACCCCTTAAATTATAACCCCTTTCCCTTTCATCAAATAACTTTTGGTAATAAGTCGTTCCTGGCTTTATACATAAACACAGCGGTCTTATATCCCACTAAATCAAAGAATTTTAACAATTTAGACTGTATGAAAGCTCCATTGGTGTGATCCCTATACCCCTTCTTATGCACAATTCTTATCGCTCTTTTCTGTAATATGTACAATGGTTGAAGTGAACTTTTGTAAGTGTTTCCCCAGGTCTTTGTGGTTAGATGTCAAGGTTAGGGCTGCAGTTAATGTTTGCCTTGTCTGATTTTGGTTTCTTGCTAATTGATTAAACTATAAAGTGGTAAAACTAAATGGTTTGCACAACTTTTGATGTGGCCCAGGTGACAAATTTTAGCTTTTTTCCTCAAGGAGCAGCCCCAACCTTAAAGATATTAGTAGTGATATAACACAGAAAAAATGGCATGAAATGTACCAATAAAACACAGAAATTAGAGAATGTTTGACATTTTGCTTGATAAATAACTAACAATCAGCTGATTATCAAGGTCATGACAGATTCATTTTCTGTCACTGAGTAATCACAGTTTTACAAAGGCGCTGTTAATTTTATGACCATCAGATTATAATTTACTATCATGATGACTGGGGTCGCTGTCCTGATTTGTAGGCCATAGTATGGGTTAAGCTGGATCTTAAACATTCCAAAATACAACTTATCACTAGTATTTTTAGTTGAATCCTCACTGGCTGTTTCACAAAGGTATAATGTTATAAATGTGTGGTGCCTAGGTTGTAACGATATCATCAGTTAGTGTTGTGTTAGTACTCCATAAACTGATCTTCCTGTGTTGGGATTGCCACCTTACATGATCTTAATATGAAATCACAATTATACAACTGCATTTGGTTAAAAGGGTCACTTACTGCTTGCTCATAGTGATATTCACTCTTGACAAAACTCACATTGAAGTCCTTCATTGCATTTTTAGGGAGTATTACAAACACTGCTGGTTTCATTCAGTGTATATCTTTCCAGATTGCAGCCAAAATCGGCGGAGATGGTGTTCCCCCAGTGAACAACAACGGTGGAGCTGAGAGCTATTCGTTCACAGCACAAAAACGATCTCTGGAAGAAGCAGGTTTAAAATCAGCACCAACACTCATTTTGTCTGCATTTGTTTGTCTGTGTTGTAAGATTCACCTTTTCTTTTGTTTCTAGATGAACCCGATGCCAAGAAGGTAGCATCTCAGAGCGAAAGAGATTCTGCTTTGTGTATGTTGAATAAACATGTTGACCTTGTTTCAAACACTTGCACAGTGACATTTCCAACCACTCACCCACTCCTCCTTCTGTTACAGCTATCGGAGCTCAGCTTGCTGCCCTCTCCCAACAAAGGTGTATATAGTTATGTTTTTTTTTTTCCTTTTACATGAACACATATGATGTTTATGGTTATGACAGAGATGAGATCCTTTAAAACATTATATATTCTTTTACCTGTCTGCAGTGTCAGGCCCTCCACAATGTCAGAAGAGTACAGGGTACCTGATGGCATGGTCGGTCTCAGTGAGTACATGAGCATACGTTTCCTAAACTATGGACATGACTGATGCCCATGCTTCTGTGTTACACATGTTCAAACTAGAATCTAAATGTCTTTGCTGTTGTCTTTGAAGTCATTGGCCGAGGAGGTGAACAAATTAACAGAATACAGCAGGATTCTGGCTGCAAGGTCCAGATAGCACACGGTGAGCTATGTTCCAACCCAGTATTTATTAAATCTGCAAAGTATTATGGATTTTGCATCTTCTCTTGGATTGACACACATTCTCATACACAGACAGTGCTGGTCTTCCAGAAAGAAGTATTTCTCTGACTGGGTCACCAGATGCCATACAGTAAGCTGGTGTTCATATTCATAGAAACAAACTGGAATTTTCATCTTGTCAAATACACAAAGTTGTTTGTTTTTTGTGTGTGTGTTTTTTTGTTTGTTTTTTATGTTCATGGATGACTATGGGATGAAGCTTTGCTGGTCTGGTGGCTGGTCTAATCTAGTTTATGCTTGCAATGGCAACAGTTTGTAGCATGAGACTTTACTTTGAAAGTTTGGCCTCCAAGGCAGTACCTCCTTCCAGGCTGTGTACGAAGCAGTCCTTAGCTAAGATTAAACCCCAGCTATAATTATTACTTTAATTAGTTCTGCTCCATAAGCACAGGCACAATGTTATGGCCGCGAGATGCTGAGCTGTTGGTTGGCCATTGGTGAGCATCTGTTGGGGCCCGTCTTTCCAGTGTGTCCCACACCGTTGGCACTAGTTGGTGGCTTTTTGGCCAATTAGGTCCAGTTGAATTGCTGTCAGGCCTCATCAATGAGAAAGACCACTCTGATTGGATGTTGAGCTTAGTGAATCAATGCACGAGAAGAGAATGGTGCTTGCATATTCTTGATTAAAATTGGGTATAAACAGCA